ACTGAGCATTTCCACCTGCACAGAGCATTTCTTGCTGATTGGCTGTTGGGATTTAACTTGATTAACACCTGCACAGAGTATTTCCATACTGACAGTATGTCTTTATTCAAGTGTTTTGGTAGGTATTTCAAGCTTTTCTGCTCCAGCATTGGAATGCGGGGCATGTAACGTTTTTTTTTTATTTTTGAAAATCAACAGTTTGCATTATGCAATTAAAAATACCTAACCAATAAAGTAGGGAATAGCTATCCAACTGTTGTTCTAGTTGTATGTTACTTCATATTATAGTTATATCAATGTAAATCATTGTTTTCCCTTGTGTTTCTGATTCTTTCCCTGCCATGTGGTAAAATGTGGTGAACCCATCGCTGTATTTGCTCCAAAGCAAATATTGGCCTTTCTAGTTTTATTCTGAACTTCAAGTTTGTGCTAAGGCCACACTGCGTTAATTTTATGGATTTTATCACCTGATTTTGAACTAAAAAAACTTGATTAACACCTGCACACTGAGCATTTCCATACTGACAGTATGTCTTTATTCAAGTGTTTTGGTAGGTATTTCAAGCTTTTCTGCTCCAGCATTGGAATGCGGGGCATGAACGTTTTTTTTTATTTTGAAAATCAACAGTTTGCATTATGCAATTAAAAATCCTAACCAATAAAGTAGGGAATAGCTATCCAACTGTTGTTCTAGTTGTATGTTACTTCATATTATAGTTATATCAATGTAAATCATTGTTTTCCCTTGTGTTTCTGATTCTTTCCCTGCCATGTGGTAAAATGTGGTGAACCCATCGCTGTATTTGCTCCAAAGCAAATATTGGCCTTTCTAGTTTTATTCTGAACTTCAAGTTTGTGCTAAGGCCACACTGCGTTAATTTTATGGATTTTATCACCTGATTTTGAACTAAAAATTGTTGCCTTCTGACAGTGGTCAACATACCAAAAATGGGCAAGGGTGTCTGTTGCCATGCTGGAAAGTGGATGGCAGATGAATATGATCTGATTTAGGCTCTGATTTAATGTTTTGTCTTTTACTTTGATGCAATGTTGTATTTTATTTATACCTTTATTTTATTTTATTTTATTTAATAACTAAAAACTTAATTTTTGAAGTTGTTTCAGTGATGCTATAATATCTGTTTTAATCAACATAGCCTAACTGTGACTCCACTGGTATGGTACTTTAAGAGCTCCCTACCAAGATAAGTAATTGAGAAGATCAGTAGTTAGGATTAGGATTGGGCCGAATACGAATTTATGTTCGTTGTTTCTTAGAATGTGTCAGTTACCTTTTGTTTATTTAGAACCTTCTTTAGAACATGGATTGTTTTTGTTTATTTAGAACTTAATTCTTGTACCGGAAATTTCCTCACTTTGTACTGATGAAAGCTAGTGGATACTAGCTGAAACGTTTACACATTAAAATTTCAATTATCCAGTTGAAAAAGACTAAACAGCTTTATCTATTTATGTTCGTTGCTGTCCAGGTAGCAAATCTATCATACACAGTTGACTACAATTAATAAGAGACAATACAATGTTGTTGCTTTTTTCTCAATTCTTTAATATGGTGGCAACAAAACTGTCGGGATGTGAAAGTGGTGCAAGAAGAAAGAGAAGTGCGGCATGTCCACAGAACAGTGGATCACAGTGTATCACAGTGGATCACAGTGGATCACAGTGGATCACAGTGGGTCACAGTGGAACCCAGTGGATCGCAGTGGATCACAATGGAACCCAGTGGATCACAGTGGATCACAGTGGAACCCAGTGGAACCCAGTGGATCACAGTGGATCCCAATGGAACCCAGTGGATCACAGTGGTCACAATGGAACCCAGTGGATCACAGTGAAACACAGTGGATCACAGTGGATCACAATGAAATCCAGTGGAACCCAGTGGATCACAGTGGATCACAGTGGATCACAATGGAACCCAGTGGATCACAATGGATCACAGTGGATCACATTGGAACCCAGTGGATCAAAGTGGATCACAGTGGATCACGGTGGAACACAGTGATCCCGAGATCTAGATCTTCTGCATCTCAGTGAATCCCTCCAGATCACCGACCTTGTATTCCTGGAGCAACAAGAACAAGAACAACATTACGTTATTCCAGGTCAACCATCAAATTATTTCTTTTATTGAAACATATTGATAAAACATGGTGAGGGCACACTCACCATGGTTAGTTACACACTTATATTCATGCTGCCACCGACACATAAGACAATACATAATACATAGGAACGAAGAACCTCTTGAACATAGATGTACTAGAATATCGTCAAACAAAGGAGCTTATATTTCCTTGGTCAAACCATCAGTTTACAGCAGCTTCAAAACCTAGCAGGTCCCCAATAAGATAATTGTTGTATCAGTAATAGCAACATGTTGACTAACTAGAAACCTTTACATAGATGTTTTTGGCGACGTCTCATGGAGGAGCCTAATGGTACAGTATTGTGTGCAGTTTGCAAGAATTCTAGAAATTGTACAGGAATTTTGTCCACAGGCATGGAATGTCCACAGGAATGCTCTGTTTGTTGACATGCCCGCATTCCTGGAAACCCTTTGGAAAACCTCTCTGCCCCGGATGCCCTACTTTCTGTGACCCCGTGGCTCGTTCACTATACACTCAGGGAGGGGGGGGGGGGGGGGTAGGGTACCAAGGCTTCCTCAAAACCATAAAATCATGGCAGTGCCGTGCAAACAATAACCCTAAAAGCAACCACGGTCGCCATGGCAATGTGTGTTTTCATTGCCAGTCTTGTTTCTAGATGTCTTACCGTACGGATGGTCTTGTCGTCCAGCCAGCGGCGTGTCTGCCGGACCACCAGACCGTTCCCGTCATGGTTCGGGTGCACGGAGACCAGGGTGTCTCCTTCCATGGTGTAGGTCACCTGTAGGGTGAGAGGAAGAATTGAACTTTACAAGTCCAGGGATGCCAGAGTAAACAGTGCAATTTTACGGAATACAGTGCAAGTTTACTACTATACAGTGCAATTTTATGGAATACAGTGCAATCGTATTAGCATATAGTGCAATTTCACGGAATACAGTGCAAGTTTACTAATGACGTTGAATGACGTAACCTAGGCCCGGCTTTCCAGTGACGCCGCTGACGGAGCGTACACACATCTTTCTGTGTTTTTCGAGCGAATTCGGACCGTTCTCGTAGATAGACCCTTAGTCAAATCACTACATACTACGTATACACACAGGGCATGTTACAACACAGGGATCATTACCTTCGCCAAGAAGGTTATGTTTTCGTAGGCGTTCGTGTCTCTCTCTCTCTCTGTGTGTGTGTGTGTGTGTGTGTGTGTGTGTGTGTGTGTGAGCACGATGACTCAAAAAGGCTAAGATGGATTGTCTTGATACTTGGTAAGTGGGTAGGTCTTCATGAGACGTGGAACTGATTAGATTTTTGGCCTCCTAGCGGCTTGTTATGGTACTGCAGCTGAACTTCCGGTTTTGATATCTCGTGATCTGGACATGCTAGGGTCATGAAATTTAAATGGTAGATAGCCCTTGTGCTGGGAATAAAGTGACATGAGTGTGAGCCCCCTAGCTGCTTGCACTGGAACTGCAGGGGCGTTAGTTGTAAATGTTTAAAGGCGGATAACTCATGAACCGATTGATGGATCGTCATGAATTTTGGCATGTAGGTAGCTGAAGTAATGCTTGACATAATAATATTACAATTATGCAAATATTAATGTAATTTGCATAATTAATGAGGAAATTTTATAAATCAGCTGCATTCCATGATAGGATTATTCAAGCTTGTGACATATGTACTAAGAACGGCAGAAATACAGGCAGATATATATTATGCAAATGAGGACTTAATTTGCATAATTAATGAGAAAATTTTATGATTACATAGTGGTAACTGCCTGGAATTTCATACTTTGGATATTTGAATGTTATGTGATGGTGAACATAATTAAACATAACTTATTCAAATAAGGACTCATTTGCATAATTTATAAGGAAATGCTATACTGGCATTCTTTGATAAGATAAGACTGTATTTTGGTGTAGAATATGATCAACTGATATAATTGATGCAATATAGGATCCTATTTGCACAATCAGGGGGATTAATCTATAATTTCTTAGTTATAAAGGCTAACATCATTTGGCGAAGGTATGAGATCGTGGAACTCTAGTTTCGTATTCGCTCGAAAAAGACAGAAATATGTGAGTCAGCGGCATCCGCCATCTTGAAACTCAAGGAAAGCAGGGTCCAAGTCACGTGATTCAACGTCACTAGTAAAATTGCACTGTATTCCGCAAAATTGCACTGTATACTCTGTCACCCCTGAAGTCGTAGAATAGAAGGGACCCAAAGCATATTATGTTACGGACATATTGAGGGCATACAAGACAAATTGAATGTAATGTGGGTTCCCAAAACAAACTGTCATGTTATTTACAGTTAGCGTGACACTGTAGATTTCCAAGCTAGGCATACTGAGAATAAGCCATCTCAAAGATCTGAGTGCGCATGTGCAGTCCTGATGCATTGTGGTCTATGCACTGATGCATTATGGTCTATATCCTGATGCATTGTGGTCCACGTTCAAGACTTTGAAAAAATTGACTCTTTTTGCAACGTCCTGTTGTATTACAGCTGAAGGACTATAATGGTTTTCTATGATGTGACAGAAACTCACAGTAAGATAGCTCTATCTTCTCAAAACCAGTGATGATTTAAACGACATACATCATTTTCACACTACCCATAATGCCTAGTGCTGGTCACGGATATAACGTAAGAAGCGGATAGACTCCAAACAGAAGTAACATGGTGCCATTTCAGTAGATATCCAGTAGTTTTTCTTTAGTTTGGCAAAGTTATTAGTCTTGGTCACATATGTAGGCAAGTTGTTTACAAGCCTAATGTAGGTCACAGTCTTCAAAATGATGAATATCCAGTTGAATTTTAGCGTTAGGTTGTGGTTGCTTCGATAGTGACTTACCCATGATGCACTTGGAACTGTCATGGCGCCGTGACCAGCACTTACTAATAGGCATTATGGGAAGTGTGAAAATCATCAATTCCTCTTCCACGTACCTTCCTCTTTTTCCCGGTTGGGTCGGTCTCGTCACACTCCTGTCCGAGAGTGAAGGTGTTCTCAGCGGTCTTGCCCAGCAGGGTGCCCTTACTGGTGAAGCTGTTCCCGGACACTGTGATCTCAAGCGGGAACTCTGCATCTTTCATCATCGCCTGAGCCTCGGCCGGGATTCCTGAGATCAAGAATAAAGCATTTGTCAAATCATAATTTTTTTTTGCATTGAAAAACATTTTATGTGAAGCAAACCCACAGAGATGGTGGGGGGAGAGGAATAAATTTAAATTTCTGCAACTTATCATCAACTGCTCACCGAGTCCCCTGGGAGTCAGACTAGTATCGGGTCGTTAGCCGTTTTCCTTCGGCAACCAAGAGACCTTCGCCCGCTTATCAAAATTACCGCTACGGAGTTGGGCCCGAGGTGAGTTGGGCGGCCCTATTCTTTGAAAATACTGAAAATTTGTCCAATTTCGTGTGTCGGAAATTATAGTTCAAGCCTTTTTTCGTAATGACTTCTACTAACACAGATGAACTTTCAAGCTAACATTTGTCCGTACCCTCTACGTTTCACAATACTCCGATTTAAAGCACCGTCTGTCTCAGTCTGTATCGTAGAAAACGGTCGATATCGATTAATCATCTCTCCTTGCTAATAAGTAACTCGACTCCGCGTGGATCGAAGTTCGCCAGTGGGGGGCGTGTAGCTGTGGTGCAGTGACCTTCAATCACCTTGAAAAAATCTTACCAAGGACAAAACCTTTCGATGGCTACGTCTGTAACTTAATTGTTTTTAACGAAGACCTAAAATACCATAATCATTATAATTATTATCTATGAGCAGATAGCCAACATCACACAATCATCTAGACACATATTTACATGAAAGTATATCTTCAATGTTAACCAATGTAGAGGCTCTTGTAAACGAATAACGTCGCTACCACATAGCTACAAAATTCTCTACGTGTTCAACTTTGGGGTCTGCAAAAGGATAACCTTGCTGGTCTGAAAGATACGCTAGTTAGTACTTCAAGTTCTCTAAAGCATTTTGAAGTCTTTCTTCAATGTTAACTAACGTAAGGCTCTTGTAAACGAATAAAGTCGCTACCACATAGGTACAAAAATTCTCTACGTGTTCAATTTTGGGGTTGGCACAAGAATAAACTTGCTGGTCTCTTTTGGAAGATACACTAGTTAGTACTTCAAATTCTCTAAATCATTTTGTGACAAAAAAAAGTATCAAATACCCATTTTGGTCATGATCTCTCCATAGTTGTCGGAGCGCTTGGTTCCCTTCCAGGTACCGGTACCTTTAGCCAAGTCAAACGGCATTTTGGACGATTTTTCTCGGGTGAGAGGAAAAGACCAGACGAGAGCGTCACCTGCTAGAAGTCCGAGTTAAAGTGGGAGGAACCGCTGTACGACAAGTTATATAAAAGGTCGACTGGTGGCGTGGAAGGTAAAGTACACACGGTCAACACCATATATGGCTATGTAGCCAGGTTGTACGACATGTGTAGGCACATTTGGCTGTTTGACAACCGGCTGTTGCTACGTTCCATGCAAATATTTGCCTGACCTATAGTGTAATGCTGTTAACAGTTAGTCTACTGTTACCATTACATTGTTACTATTGTAGTACCATACCGTGGCATATTTGCACCTCTTTCACACATGAAATCTATACAATACTAATTCTTCTAACTCTGTAATACCCAAAATGATCATATTTGGAAAATCGCAACACTTATGATACTATTGATTCATACGTGACCCAAAGTTTAACTTATCTTTTTCATCTCACACACGCAATCAATAGACATGACTCATTCGTGGAGCAAAGTCTACCATATATTCTCAATAATAACTTCAAGGACATTCAGTACAACTACTCTGTCAAAACGTACATGAAGGAAGGAAGAACTTTATTGCACGACAATTTCACATGGTACAATGTATGGCAAACTACATAAAGAGAGTAACAAACAATAAAAGTAAGTGTGTTGAACAAGACCTAATGTGGAATAAAACCTAACAAATCTGTATCATAATTATTCAAATAATAAGGGATAGCACAAGTCTATGATAAAGTGTTACAATCGAGTGGGATAATCACAAGTTTCGGAATTTTTTCTAATAACAAAGTATTCCTTTACATATCTTCCAATTTTTAAGTTTTGGGGACCTTTACATGTAAAGATATATTCACTGTCTCCAACATCGAGACTCCTGAAATCTATTGTACTTAATTCGAGAAATGTAAATAGCTTGTCACGTATAACATCATATTTGGTACATTCCATAACAAAATGAAATTCATGTGCGATGTAAAACGTATCCAAAAGAAGCACTGTGTTGGTCTACATGATTACATGCGAATAAAGTATATTTTTATGATATCAAGCTTGTAACTCTCATGCTGAATTTACCAATCTATATATGTTCCTTGACCCTTTTCAAAGTTTAATGTAACCACTCAACTACTCTGCAAACACATTACCTCATTGCTAGGTTCTCAATGTGTGCTTGACAGTGAGTGAATGGCAAGCTGATTTGTATTGAACTGTACACGTGGCTTATACAAGGTAGATACGGGGCTGTGCAGTATTTGCATAGCCAGTGGTCTTCATGTAAGTAAGGCCATGTTGATTTGATTATATGGATGACATCCGCGCGCGCATGAATTTTTGTCCGTTTCCAAAAAAAAAAGCTTTCAACCATACTGTAAATCGTACAAAACTGTTGTAAAATTAGCAAATATATACCGTAAGTTTCCAAGAAAATATTGGAAAGCTATACCAATGTCCAAGAATGCAAAAAAGCAAGCAAAAAAGACGTAAATTGTAAAGAAATGAATTTAAAGACTATATTATTCGCCATACCATATTCTGTGTCATTTGTTCAACCTTCATGACCACGTAGATTTCATGATGAAAGCAACTTGTTTTTTGCCAAACTTTGACAAACCTTTTTTTATTCGTACGCTCGCATCAGTTTTGGGGTTCTTAGAGGATGTCATCCATATAATCAAATCAACATGGCCTAATTGGTCTTCAATATGGCCAATTATACAACGCCAGGGTCAATAATTTAGATTTTTTGAGCCTCGGTCCACCCTTCTTGATCTCCAACCTTGTATCCCTTGAAGAACAATAAATGACAATGCATTGTCATTTAACGGAGTGACAAGGACAACCTTTATGTAGTTATTGACAGGGACTCTGACCTGGAATAACAATGAACGTAATTGCATATTCACGCCCTACATGGGTCAAATGCACTTAGTTAGACGTACATGTACAAGGGTAGAAGGAACAATTCTTTGCTACATCTGTATCTACAGGATCTCTATCTAATCTTCCTTTGAAACATGTATGAACAACTTAACATGGTTTTTACATCGTGATTATTGGATGTCATACTATGTTTGAACAGTTCTGCTTTCGGTAAGTGTGCATATTCCTGTTCTATTAAACTGTAAGGAACTAAACTAGAAACATTTGCAAAGCAAATGCATAATGTTTACCTTCGCATATGGTCTGCTCTGTTAATTCCTACATTCATATATATGGTCAGACAGGAGTATAAATCCCTCCTACTATAAGATTGCAACATTATGTAACCCAACACCAGTTACCATGGTGAGAAACGTCAACAAATCAGGTCATTGGCCAGGTCAGAGGTCAGTATTTGGAACAGGAAGAAGAAACGTAGCAGACACAATATGTTTTCCTTCGGTAAACATAATAAAGGATTTCATTGTCTGTGTAAAGTGAGCATTTAAAACAAGGAATAAAAAACAGCCAACTCAACATCCACACCGAATGTACTTTTCGATCCTCCTAACCATAAAAGAGAAGTATGCTTCTAGCTCTCTCGAAGGAACTGATTTCTACCACAATTTGCCAGTCTTACATGTAGTATGGTCTTGTCGTCCGTCCACCGGAGTGTCTGTTGGACCACCAGTCCCTTCCCGTCATAGTCAGGGTACACGTACACCAGGGTGTCTCCCTCCATGGTATAGGTCACCTGTGGGGTGACAGCAGTGAATGCAAGATTTTGGCTACGTCTCAGGGAGGAGCCTAATACACAGTATTGTGTGCATTTTGCAAGAATTCTAGGAATTGTACAGGAATTTTGTCCACAGGAATGGAATGTCCACAGGCATGTCTCTGACCCACATCTATGCCCACATTCCTGGAAACCCTTGGGAAGACCTCTCTGCCCCGGATGGCCCTACTTTCTGTGACCCCGGTGCTCATTCACTATACACTCAGGGGAGGAGTGCACTGTATCTGTCTAGACTTACCAGGTCTTCCACAAAATCATGAAATGATGGCAGTGTCATGCAAACAATAACCCTGACAGCAACCACCGTCGCCATGGCAATGTATGTTTTCATTGCCAGTCTTGTTATGCTAGAAATGTTACATTTGCAAAGCAAATGCATCATGTTTACCTTCACACATGGTCAGCTCTCATGTTAATTCTTACTCAAACACATTCATATAAATGTACATCAATTTGTTTTACTTCTACGAAGGTAGACATAATTACTTGGTAACATTGTTAGTAACTCTAGCTGCCGTGGGCTACGGAGGATGGCACCTAGACCAGAGCCTCAGAGGAGGCGAAATTCAGTGCGCTCGTGAATGTCATCCATAGCAAGACTGGCAATGAAAAAATACATTGCCATGGCGACGGTGGTTGCTGTTAGGGTTATTGTTTGCATGGCACTGTCATGATTTCATGATTTTGAGGAAGCCTTGGTATCCTACAATCCCCTCTGAGTGTATAGTGAACGAGCCCGGGGTCACAGAAAGTAGGGCATCCGGGGCAGACAGGTTTTCCCAAGGGTTTCCAGGAATGTAGGACTGTCAACAGACAGAACAAGTAGACATCCCTGTGGACATTCCATGCCTGTGGACAAAATTCCTGTACAATTCCTAGAATTCTTGCGAACTGCACACAATACTGTACCATTAGGCTCCTCCCTGAGACGTCGCCAAAATTAAATCAGTGTGGCCTAATACAGACTGGATGTATTGTGAATGTACCACCCACCTTCCTCTTGTTCCCCGCTGCGTCTGTTTCCTCACTCTCCTGTCCTAGTGTACAGACTGGATGTTTTGTGAATGTACCACCCACCTTCCTCTTGTTCCCCACTGCGTCTGTTTCCTCACTCTCCTGTCCTAGTGTGTCAGACTGGATGTTTTGTGAATGTACCACCCACCTTCCTCTTGTTTCCCACTGCGTCTGTTTCCTCACTCTCCTGTCCTAGTGTACAGACTGGATGTTTTGTGAATGTACCACCCACCTTCCTCTTGTTTCCCACTGCGTCTGTTTCCTCACTCTCCTGTCCTAGTGTACAGACTGGATGTTTTGTGAATGTACCACCCACCTTCCTCTTGTTTCCCACTGCGTCTGCTTCCTCACTCTCCTGTCCTAGTGTACAGACTAGGGCTGCGTACCTAAACGTAACATCAGGTACAGGTACAGGTACTGGTACAGAGGTTTAGGTACAGGTCCGGACCTGTACCTGTACCTGAACAATTTGACAAATTAACACGTGTTCTTCACTTCTTTAATCATGACACAGAAACAATAATAAAGTGTTGGAGGGAAGGGAAAATGACTGACCTCTGACCTGATTTGAGTTTGTTGACCAATCACAACCCTGGATCAGACACACTCTCGCGATGTCTCGTGAGACTGAGGATCTCAAATCAATCGACGGTGTTTACGTCTTTTCCAGTGCTAATTTTTCGTCTTTGTGGTAGGATTTACCTATCTTTAGTCATATACATGGTGTAAACTAGCTATTTCGGTATATACTCGTTACTTCATGATCCGGTATTTTGGACCTGTACCGAAACGATTTTTACGGTATTGGACCGGTACAGTGTACCGGTCCGCAGCCCTAGTACAGACTGGATGTTTTGTGAATGTACCACCCACCTTCCTCTTGTTTCCCACTGCGTCTGTTTCCTCACTCTCCTGTCCTAGTGTACAGACTGGATGTTTTGTGAATGTACCACCCACCTTCCTCTTGTTCCCCACTACGTCTGTTTCCTCACTCTCCTGTCCTAGTGTACAGACTGGATGTTTTGTGAATGTACCACCCACCTTCCTCTTGTTCCCCACTGCGTCTGTTTCCTCACTCTCCTGTCCTAGTGTGTGAGTGTTCGCACATTCCCGACCAAATATTGTCCTGTCAGTAAACGTGTCACCAGACACTGTCACTTCTTTCTTAATCTCTGAGGCAAGGAGCTTCTCAAGGGCCTCTGGTGGGACTCCTGAAGAAGAAAAAATTAACATTGGCATGTTTGGTATTGAAGGTTTACTATTTATGCTTATTTAGCACCTTTATTTCATGGTAATGCCACACCAATTTAATTTGTTGTTTCTCGGATTATTTCAGAGAAAATATGAAGCGACAGGTAGAAAAAAAACAGGCCAAGGTACTCCGTAAAGGCCGGAAATGTTACGATATGAGTCATGAAGTCAACATACCAGGCTGGTTTATAATTCAAACAATAGATTTTGAACTTTTAATAAAAAAAAGTTGCATTGTTACATTGAAAAACTTTAACAACTAGGAAGAAAATGACTTTCTTATCCCGTTGGGGCCAAAATATGTCTTTCATTGAGCATTTTGCCGTTGATTCAGAACCTATTTATTTGTTACAATTCAGAAAAAATGGACTAGGCAAATCAGAGAAACAACAATTTAAATTGGTATGGCCTAATGAGAGAGTAAATCCAAACAAGAATTTGACAATTACACTTAATTAAAAGTTTTCTGATAAGATACAGTCGAAAATTTAAAAGTAGTATAATCGCCACTCCCTAACTAATGTTTAAATAGTTAGCTGTCTTGTGTGAGTACACTGGGTCAAAGGTCAATGACCGCTAGGTGACGTTATTTAGCACACATGACGAAACATATCCTCTATATAACCACCTTAAAAACGTCGGTCTAAAACGCATTTCTTGAGGCTGCCTTTCAACTGAACATACACAATGGTATCTACGTATTAGGATTATAAAGTTGAGATATCATGTGCCGTTATATATACCGTAACGTATACTGTATGGGTTACACAGTATACGTACACAGTATACGTATACGTGTGGGTTACACGGGTTTGGGTTAAGTTGAATGACTTGCATAATCCGCAAGGCTTATACCAGTTAGTAGTATATATCTAAACGTGGCACATGATATGGATACAGACTTCAGTTACGTGGTGAACTCCTAACAACTCCATTGAATGATCGTACGTCTGAACATGTACGTTAAACCATAAAAAACGAATACCAAGTTTCTGCATGATCTCTCCAAAGTTGTCGGATTTCCCGGTGATCTTATAAGTGCCAGATATTTTCTTTAAGTCAAACGACATTCTAAGATGATCGTGGAGACAGGTGACAGGTTTCTTGACCGGTAAAACGGCTTGCAGGGGTGAACCGAAGTGGGGACCGGGTATATGTGACACCTAGTCAGCCGTCACGCCACGTACTAAATCGAACGCGTTTCGAACCGTTTTTATTTGCAGTTCGAATCGATCCGCGATCCCTAGAAACGCCGTTGCTAAGGAAACTCTTTTCGCGCGGCAGTTGGATGAAATTTCATCCGACTTTCACAGCTGCGTTGAGCCTGGTTGGTGGCATTATTACCTACGTTGCGTTACATGTACCAGACGGGAATGCCATGTACTCTTGACATAATCAATTTTTGGAGGGTTTTATAACGTATTTTGTTAGATAATTGGTCATATTTGCTAAACAGTGAAATCGTCAAAATGGCGGTGCCGAACTGAGCTAAATTTTCGACGAAATTCACATTGGGGGCATTTGCATGTCGCCCTCGATTCTGTCTTATATGACTATTGAGTAAGATTCGTTGAATCTTCGACTATGTCTCTTGTGAAAATCTTGTTGGATCAAAATCTGGAAATGTTTGTATATTCATATCTACCGGGGTCACATCCTCGGCCGTTTTACGCCAAAAGTTCTAAAACGTTGGTTTAGTTGATTCTAGTGCAACCGGCGTTTTAGCACAAGTTGCGGTGCTGATGTACCGTCTCAATATTGTCAAAGGATGCCTACAGACACAGACTACGTAAGTACGAACTGAATCAGCAAATGCTTTCTTACTCTTGCAGGTATTATTACTAAAATCCAACGGTGCGGGTCTGGCGTCTGGTCTGTGGAACGCGCTTGAAGCCCGCGCTGTTTTTGGAACGAAAACGATGCCTCTGATGAGGTGGCCTCGCGCGATTACGAAGGAAGCTCATTACGTCCCCAAAATTGATAACAAATTATATACGGACAGAAAGAAGAGACTTCAGGCTATTTTACGCACTAGATTTCTTTTTGTTGTGAAAACTGAAATAAGGTAAAAACATCGGAGGAATTTCCACCAAAATCAAGTGGTTTCAGGTCATATTATCAAACGAGCAGAGGTTAACAATCGTTTTAAAAAGTCACTAGGAGTAAAATAGGAAGCTTAATATTCACAGATACAATGAAATAATGAAGATATATAGTTATAAACTCAAGCAACAAGCTTTGTAGTAAGAGGTCCGGACTCCCGGGGGTTATAGAACGTAAAGTTGTCTCAAAACTGCGCGCGGTTCGCCGTGAGAGTCAATCATAAATCTTATGGTCAGATTTATATCAATTCGGGTTTGTGAATTGACTTGAAACTCGGAATCCATACACAGGAGACCATTGTTAACATAATTCCACATGGAAATTTACGTTCTACGGAGCGAGGACCTGTCCAGAGTAGGTGATAACTAAAAATGTCAAACCTGGCTCGTTCTATTCTGGAATCAAAATTATGACATGACCTCGCGCGTTTTGGGGGCATCTGCATGTCGCCCTCGAAATCGATAACAAGTTATATATCAACACAAACTAGAATCTTTGCTCTTTCATACACACTAGATTTCCTGTTGGATCAGAATCTACAACAAGTTAGAAATGAGAACGGGATTTCCACGAAAATTACCTGCTTTCAGGTCAAATTTTTGAAAGGATCACGGTATGCCATTGCTTCAAAAATGTATAGGAGTAACAAATGAAGCTTACACATTATCAATAAGTTAAAGTTAGGAAGATAAATGGTTGCAGACCTCAGCTACAAGCTTTCAGGTAAGGCGTGTCGGCCTCCGAAATCATGGAACGGACTACTTTCTTTCGCGGAAGGAAAATAAAACTGCCTCGAACTCTCGACGTGGCGTGGCGGCTGCTTAACTTCAAGCAAACCTTTCAGTGGCTGCCTTACAGTACCAAATTGGGAATACAGTATCCGTTTGCCAGCCAGTATCCAAAA